CTCACACACACACACACACACACACACACACACACACACACACTTTAATTCTTTACTTTTATTGCTGTAGTTTTCTTCCTCCTTATTTTCTAGCTCCCTTCCCTCCTGACTTTCAGCCACAACCACAGAGCACCAGGAGACTCCATGTATCCTCTCTGAATCCAGACTTTTCCTGGTTGAAATTTCAGACGATTCTTCTCAAGCCCTGCCTTCATCATGTCACTGTCTTGCTCAGAAGCAGTTGGCACATACCACTCCAACCACTCAGATAAAGCCCATCAGCTGGCGGTCAAGGCCCCACTCTGTGGCACTGGCCTCCCCACCCGGTGTTAGCTCCCTACTCTGCTCTTCACGCAAACCTAGCTTATGCAAGCACGCAGGGACCATCCTGCCTCCTTGTAGATTCTCTCTTGCTGTCCAACTCCTACTCATTCGCCTGATCCATTTACATCTCACTTTCTCCCCATATCCCTCTGTGAAAAATCTAGGCTTATTGCTACGTCCAGTGTTTTCATTTCTACTTTACTCCAAGGCTGTACTGACCATTTGTCCTGGTCATACAACCTGTCACATACCCTTCCATCCCAAGCACATAGAAAACGTCCAACACATTCTTGATTCAGTGGCACTGATAAATGGGACCAGACTTCCTTCTGAAGTGAGTAATAGGATCTATGTGTAAATGTTTACTTCTTAAAATGCAAATTATTAGAACAGGTAATAAGACTGCAAAAATACCAGCAAATACCTAATCCTCTCCCATTACTAAACATCCGGGTGCCCCCTTGGCAGTAACTTTTCTAAGTTTTCTAAGTTTACTGCAAGCATTAGAAATGGGATTGTAGACTAATGTACTCTGGTTTGGTGTTTATGTATGTGTGTCTTGCAGGGATTTTTCTCTTTTAGTAAGTTGTGGTTCTTTGTCTTTTTTTTTTTAACTAAGGGTTTAAATAACAAACAGTTGTCTGAATATAAAGCATAATTTCTTTCATAAATGGAAATCAATACTTATTTTTGAACAGTTGCAACTGGAGAAATAATTAGCATATTATTATTCAGTAATTCTATTTCAACCCAAATTTTGCATTTAGGATTCTAGGACTCTTCATCCGTGGCATTGAAGAAAACAGCAGATCCAAGCGGGAAGGATTGTTTCATGAGAATGAATGTATTGTAAAAATCAACAGTGTGGACCTTGTAGACAAAACCTTTGCTCAGTAAGCAGTTTTTCATTGTATTGTTTACTTTATTAGATCCTTAGAATGCTTATAATCGTTACTGAGCTCATTATGATCCAAATTCTAGGTAGCATTTTTCTCAGTTCCCTTTGAATGACCCCAGAACGTTCATTTTCAAATGCACCTTATGTGTAAGCATACTCAAAGGTGGCTTGCACATGTCCCTAACAGCCCCAGGAATGGTAAACTGCAGAATGTAGCAAGCCTTCCTGCCTGGCTGTCTTTCTGGGACATCAATAGATGGGTTTGTTTTTCTTGGGATATGGGTCAGTTAGGCTGGTATTTAATGACTCTTTTCACAGACTGTTAGTTCAGCTTATTAATTAACTTACTTGGTGTCAGCAGCCTTTCTTAAACTAAATATCTGTGAGAGATGTCTGTGAGGATTCACTGACTAATAGAAACAAAGAGGAAAAAATTAAAATATTCTCCCACAAAACAATCATGTCTCTCTGTAAAAATGTTACGGGTCAGCTTCATATGCCCAAGAATTGGAGTGTGTAGCTGTTTGCATATGTTTTTAAAACATATGTTGGCATTGCAGTGGGATTCTAAAACAAGAATAAATACGAATACTCCTTAGTAATGATCATCAGCCTCTTCTTTCTGACCAAAATAACTCATAATATGTCTTCTTTGTGGCCAGTAATTGTCAATATAGTGTGTGTGTGGGAAGAAGTCAGTGGTTGTGGGTGGAGGGGCAGTGGGCACTGGCTGCTGAAGTATCGAAGGAATGAAGCCTTAATAGTCTATTTCTGAAAATAATGGATAATAGATACAATTATAATCATTATTAATAATGATATTTTTTATATACCACTGGGCTCTTTTATAAGGACTTGATAAGTATGCAAGGCACACATTATTATCCCTATTTTGTAGAGGTGGAAATTGGAGCTCAAAAAAACTCAATATGGAGTTAGTAGGAAGTCGAAACTGACTCCTAGTCAAGGACTCACCAGAGGAGTCAGGCTGTCAATGTGAAGTCGTCTTCCTCCTCCACTAACAATGTGGGCAACTAGGCATTTCAGTGAGACGGCGGGGAGCTCAGGAGGCAGTCAGAATTCTAATTAATTATTATTTGGTGTGGCTGCTAGTAACAGCGTCCTGAAAGAAAAGTAGTTCAAACAAAATTAGAATTTATCTTTTCTAAGGACAAAAGTATGGAGGTGGCAGCCCGGAGTCGATATGGCGGTTCTGCCATCATCAGCGTATCAGGCATCTTGCATCTTTCTGCTTTACCATTCTTATTATGCGGCTACCATCTTTAAGTTGTGTCATGGCCACACGATGGCTGCCCGAGTTCCCCCCATCACTTCTGAGTTTCAAGAAACTGGAAAGATAAACCAAGAACAAAAAAGTTTTCTGCCTCTCAGATAATCCAGCTTTTCTCTACCTCTTCACTTACATCTCATTGGCAAGAAAGGCTGGGGACGGTCATTGTTTTACCTTGTTGTAAGGTATAACAAGGCCTAAGGTAGAAGGAGACGAAAAAGTAATAGGAAATTTATGGAAAAACACAAAGTACAAAGACAAAAAAAGTAAAACTATACAGGTACTCTATAATAGACTAACCAGGAGGGTGCATATGGGATTAACAATCCACTATGACATTCAGCACAGCCAACACACCTACCCGATGTCTCTGTGAGGAAATGTTTAGGTCAAAATTAAACTTGGCGAATACAACCCATGTTAAAGAACACCTGTACTTTAGAATGAAATCCTAAAAGGAAATTGATCAATAACCTGATCAGTAATTCAAAATGATTGTTTTCCATCTAAAATTAAAGCTTGCTTTTATATTTAATTCAGTACTCATTTCTGGGTAGTTTTGAAAATACTTAAAAGCTGTGGCTCGTTGGATAAGTTACTTAATCTCTCTGAGCCTCGATTTCCTCATTTTGCAAAATGAGAGCTAATTATACTAACCTAACGTGGTTGTTAAGAAGATTAAGTGAGAGACTAATGCATGGGTAGCCTAGTATGGGGGCACCTGATGGGCAGATCATAAGGGGTAACTAGAGAGGGTGCCAAAAAAATGTATACACATTTTAAGAAAGGAAAAACACTATTAAAATTGTAATACTCAATATATACGAAGAACAAAAGATGAATACAAGTCATGTGTGTACATTTTTTGGCACCCCCAGTATATTTAGGTAGCAAAGTCAAGCTGGTAGTAATAGCAGAAGTATCTCCTATGCTTATGCTGCTATGATGCTCTCATTGCCATGATACTGGAGAGTTTTAGAAGATGGCATGCTATAATGTTACAAATTTACTAACTCTCTTTCAAGGGCTCAAGATGTCTTCCGTCAGGCAATGAAAGCTCCAAGCGTGCTCCTCCATGTCCTTCCACCTCAAAACCGTGAACAGTATGAAAAGTCAGTCATTGGGCCTCTTAACATTTTTGGTAACAGTGATGGTGTTGTGAGAACAAAGCCGCCTCCTTCTACCCATGGAAAATCGGGGGTAAAGGCAGTAAACCTCACAGGAACAAGCAGCCCTGAAGAAGATGCTTCAGCTTCCCTTCAACAAAGCAGGAGCCCCCGAGTCCCCAGACTAGGTAGAAAAGCATCCTCTCCCTCACTCTCCCCTCTCATGGGGTTTGGCAGCAAGAAAAATGCAAAGAAAATTAAGATTGACCTTAAGAAAGGTAATTATTAAATTATGCTTAATAACATTCTATTGTTGTAGCGTGCAAAATTGGTTAAGAGAAATGCATTAAGGCTAATTTTGTTAATTTTCCCTGCATTTAATTGTATTAAAGAATAGATTTAAGTGTATACTTAGGCAATTTAAATTTCTTGAAATTGGAGTACTTTTCTTAATCTTTTCTGCTACAGAGTGTATTATAAAGACATGTTGGGGAATGGAAAGAATCATTGCAAACTTGATAGAAACAGAGCAATAGTGTATCACAGCTAAATACTAAACAGGCACTAAAATTCAGTTGTCCATGTTTTGAGCAAGATTAGTGATTTTTAAAGCATCCTTAGACCAAGCTTCAAAAGCATATTGTTTCTGGTTCTCCTAGATCATTTTGGACTACCAAAAAATTGACTCTTCAGGAAGCAAATATGTGATCAGTAGTACTTCCACTAATGTAATATTGCAAACATTTTTTTAAACATACCTAATTTCAAAAGCATGTATAACTTTTTCTTTCTTCATCTTTTTTACTTTTGTATCCACTTCAAGCACAGATCAGTGAGACTAGATCGTGTGTGTACATGCATATTTATACAATATTATCATACACACATATAAGCGTCCATGTACGTCTGTGCCTTTGTCTATTTTGTAACTTCTGATAATACCTTCCCCCACTGCAACCTTCTGCAATCCTATGTGATTTCCAAGACTCAATTCAAAACAAACCAAGAGCTCATAGATTCTTGTTGGAATTCATAGATCATGTAATGATCATGAGGTAGTTTAGAATACTTATTAACAAATAGTAAAAGCAAATAACATGTACCTTTAATAGAGCTTATTCTGAAATATCCTCTGGACAAAATTTCACCCCTGTATAAGAATTCTATACTGAGAAGAACATGTGTTGACTAGACCAGGGGTCGGCAAGCTGCGGCTTGCGAGCCGTATGCGGCTCTTTGGGTGCGTTCCGTCTCAAAAGTTTGCCAACCCCTGGAAGAGCCAATCCTGTCCCTCACAACAATTTAAAAATTATTTGAGAGCCATAAATATATTTTTACAAATAAGGAAAATGTAAAGTAATATTATAAATGAAACTATGATAGTTTTTATTTTCATTTTCAATTTTACTTTAGAGCCACATGTACGTACCCAACGAGCTGCATGTGGCTTGCAAGCCGCAGTTTGCTGACCCCTGGCGGCTCTTCCATCTCAAAAGGTTGCCAACCCCTGAACTAGAAGTCACAAATACTCCAGTGTGCTTAGGAATTAGGCTTTTTATATAAATGGTCAGTTGTGTCTTTTGTACAAATTATCTAGCTATGTATAGATAGTGGGTTGAGTGCTTTGAAGATAGATAAATCAGACACAGAATGTGACCTTAAAAATCCATCAGGAAACCTTGAATGCAAAACTAAAGAATATGACATAACAGCAATACTTTGGGAAGATTAATCTGACAGCAAAAAGATATATGGAAGAAGAAACCAAACAACAAAGGACCAGTAGAGGATGCATTGTATCTGTCTAAATATATGTATATCTTAGTAGCTGACTGGATATAGAAGGGAAGAGAGAAAGGAGTTGCAGTAATGGCTGAGGGTTTCAGCTAGAGTGGCTAGTACAGTAGAAATGCCGTTGCTTAGAAATTAGAAATTTAAGTAGATGAGTGTATTTGAAAATGTCAGGATCCAGAGTGGAGAAGGGGTTCATAGTTAACTTTGGAAAGCTGGTGAAAGTATGTGCACGGTGATATCTAGGAAGCTGACACCAGTGAGATTAGAGCCACACAATGACATTTAGGTGTCCTCGATAGGGAGCTGGTAGTTGGAGCCAGGAGCTGGCCAAAGCCGAGTCTAAAGGACGAATTGTTCCAGGACAGCTCCTTGGGAAACATCTATGTCAATATGGGAGAACAGTGGGTAAGAGAATGACAGACATGATATGATCAGAGAGGTAGGAAAATAATCAGAAACTAAAGATATGAAAACCAAGGTGGGGGGAGTTAAGGTCAAGAAAATGACTGATGGGAGATGTCAAAACTAGAGAAGAGGAAAGATAAAAAACAGGAAGATTTACTGGACATGGTCATGGGTAGGTCATTGGTGATGGAAGATTGAAGAAGCAGTAAGATTGAAGTAAGGACTCTTGAGGGTAGAGAAACTGAGCACACCTTTAGATAGATTGAAAAAAAAATACACGGGGGCGGGGAGAGAGAGAGAGAGAGAGAGAGAGAGAGAGAGAGAGAGAGAGAGAGAGATTGCAGATGCAAGAGAATGGGACAGGAACAGCACGAGTAAAGAGACAATGGGATGCAGAATATAAGGAATCAAGACACAAGTAGAGAGGAGAGTCACAGATTAGCTAGTTGATTGAGAGCCTGATAAAACTCATGTCAGATGACCTTTTGCTTCTTATTGTTTACTGAGAAATCAATCTCCCGAGCATATAAATAACATGTGGCATTTCTTCTAGGACCTTAATAAACAAAAGTGTTACACATCTGCATTGGACCCTAAATTCATTTTGATACCATCATGGCTTGTCAGGAACTATAATTTGTATTTGAAACCAGAACAACTGAAGTGTATTTAAAATACTTGCTGGAATGTAAATATTTCACTTATTCTATGTTAGTCTAAATTAGGTAGATCTTACTGTAAGATTAAATATAATATTATTCCTGCTTAAGGTAACTGTGCATTTTCCTGGTCTTTTACACTAGGCCCTGAAGGACTTGGTTTTACTGTGGTTACCAGAGACTCTTCCATACATGGTCCTGGTCCCATTTTTGTAAAAAATATTTTACCAAAAGGAGCAGCAATAAAAGATGGCCGCCTGCAGTCAGGGGACAGAATTTTGGAGGTAAGAATTAGAATTAATATCTTCAATAAAATAGTTCTTGGTGTTTAAATAAATAAGTATATAAACAGAGATATTGATATTTATGTTTTGAATATATTGAAAATTATTACTAAAAGACAAGATAAGGACTTTATAAAACTAGTTAATGAGCAGCCTAACTTTGTAAGTCCCTAATAAGGTCAGTGATACGGGGACAAGTAACACTGAAAACTTTTTCCTATCTTCTCTTTCTTACTTCTACCTCTTAAGGTCCCTGGGGAATTTGAATCAAATTCATGAATTCACTTAATTAAGGGTAAGAATTTCAAAGTTACACCCAAGCCCTGGTAACAATTTCTTTAAACTTCTGTCAAGAATGGGCCAGTCTGTCTCAGGTTGATCTATGTCTATAGAGAAATATTGGGAATTACCAAAAGCAAGAGGTCTTTTCTTCCACCCACCCCCCACCCCCTCATTTATTTTTGTTTTATAGCATCATCTTCTTGGCTAAATATATATTGTCAACTTACATTTCAAGATACCATCTTCCTTGAAACTGTCTGGTTCCATTTAACTTTCTCATGGCATGGAAGCAATACTAGATAGCTTTTTATGCAGTTCTAGATCATGAAAGATGTACCAAATGACTTAATGTGGCTCCAAATTAGAATTTCCAACAATCTGTGAAAACCTGGTGACTCTAATTTTCTTAACATGGAGAACACTGTAGAATTATAACAAAAGACTCTTATTTGCAGAGGAATTTGCTATGTGATAAAGCTCCACTTGTACTTCTTGTGTTAGGCAGAAAATGGTACCAGTTAAGCATTTGAAATCTACTTCCTTCCTGTATAAGGCATCATTCTCTGGTGTCTTTCAGTTTGATTTTCTCCCCATAAAAATGTGATGTCTTAGGAGAAATTGCTTATATTAATTTCTGGCTGTCTGAGACTGTCTGGCACCAAAATAATGATGGCCGGTATAGTACTGGTATTTCAAACATGGTTGGTTTGCACCCATGGGTTCAGTTTTCATCTTTTCAGACCTTCATTGACTGTGAGATGCCCATTTGCTGCTTACTTTCAAAACCCATCTAGGGTAGAAGGAGAAGGGAAGTGTTGTCACTGTGTCTCTTTGTGTGGTTTCGTCCATTAGGTCAATGGCAGAGATGTGACTGGACGGACTCAGGAAGAGCTTGTGGCCATGCTGAGAGGCACCAAGCAGGGAGAGACAGCCTCGCTGGTCATCGCCCGCCAAGAAGGAGCTTTTCTGCCCCGAGAGCTGGTAATGTTCAGATCACAATGTACCTGAATTTTTAGTGCAGAGTTTAATACACTGAGTGAATTCATAATAGCTGAAGGGTGAGGTCTAAATCACAGGCTTCATTTATAACAACAACTGAATCGTATCAAGAGTATTTTATTCCACTTGGGGAATCACAGTTTTAGGATATCAATGCAGTGACGTAGATATACTCGTATGCAAACAGTGCTTCTGGTATACAAATTCAAATATCCTTTTAAGGAGGAAATTTTACAATATTCAGTTAAATAAAATATATATTGAGTATGTGCTATGTTGTAGGCCCTATGCAAAACACAGCAAAAATGTGCATGGTCCTATACTAATGCAATTTGCAGTTTAAAAGAAAATAAAATTATAACTAAGTATTCAAAATGGTGATGAAGATTATGAAAGGGAACTGCAGAGTGCTGTAGTAACTTATAACAAGGGACGTTAACCTAGTCACTAGGGCTAGAAAAGGTATCTTGAGGAAGAAAATTTCAGAAGTCTTAAAATGGATACCCTTTGACCTAGTAACTACACTTCTAGTAACCTGTCCTAAACCAATCATCAAAGAAGTGGAAGAAAATTATGTACATTGATTTTTACTATTTATTGTAGTGATATATTGGGTGTTGTACAACCTTAAGGTATTGGTGAGATAAATAACTGTATATGTCTCTAATGAAATATAAGTGCTCTAAATGGTCTCTTGTGAAGAATTGATAAGAACATGAGAAAATGTTCATAGTATTGTTAAGTAAAAAAGTAGAGTATAAAATTACATATGCAATATGATTAAATTACTTTTTAAAATCTTTAAAAAGAACTGAAAGGAGAGGCACCTGGACAGTTGAGAGAAATTCATTTTCTCAGTTTTTTTTTTACAATGAACACACATTATTTATTTTATTATTGAAATATTTAAGAAGGCTGTAGTAATTCGAAGGACTGTTATGGCTAATAACAAAGAGGAATAGATGTGATAAAATGATTTTTTTCATGACCCTCTTTTTAAAAATGTTATTTTCTTTCAATCTATTTAAGAAATTACAAAGGCACATATAGGTTACATGATAGGTTTCCAGAGTTAGATCATCAAAATAGCGTGAGGTTAGTTAAGAAAATTGAGGATAGTTAGCTTGAGAAAGAGAAAGTTTAGGACACATGGCAATTGTTGTAAGACATGTAAAAAGTTATTGTATGGATTAGAAAGTAGACTTAATCTGTTTCGTCAGATAGCTTATACCCCTTAATTTACCTGTGTTTTAATCTAACAAGCAATTTACTGAGTATCTGCTGTGCACTAAATCAGAGCTTCTGGGGATGCAAAAATGAAGATTTGTTTTCTGCCCTTACTGAGCTTGTACCAAAACCAATAGTTGGAAGTGATGATAATGTTCCAAGAACTTTCTAACTACTGGAGTTGTCCAAGAAGGAAGTGGGTTATTTAGAATATTGAAACAGAGCCTGCTTCACCATCTGTCAAAGATGCTCAAACAAAAACAAAAAACAACAAAAAAAGGGCCCACCGAGTGGCGCGATGGTTAAGAACTGGCTTGGGCTGCCAGAGGGCCCTGGTTCGGATCCCACATATGAGGGCCAGTGACACTGCTCTCCACAGCTAAGATGCTGAACAACAGCTCAGCCTGGAGCTGGGCTGCTGTTGAATCGCCGGCGACGGCGTAGGCTGCAACCCCTGCTGCAGTGGGTTGCCATGGGCTTCCGTGTGTAGCCAGCAGCCAGCGTGAGTGGCCATCCAGAAGCCAGAGACTGATCTGCCTTGCCCGGGAATAGCACAATGATGGCGCCAACTTGGGCCAGTGAAGCAACGTCCTCCACAACTAGACTGAAGCACAAAAGGACAGCAACTTGTCTGTTCCCCTTCCCCCAATTCCCCAATAAAAATCTTAAAAAAAAAAAATCCTTGTATTGTTAAGGTGATAAAACTAGATTACCTCTAAGAAATCGACTCTGGGACTAACATTCTGTTAACATGTGTTTGTATTCCTGTTTGAATATACAGCCTTGCTGAATCACTTCTCTCATATATTAATGCTCGTTGGTCTGGGCAAAGGACCCCATTCCCCCATGTTTCTGTGGCTTGGAATTTCTTTTCAGTTATTCCTTCTCTTTTCCATCGTCTTGCCCAGTTTTCCCTTTGCCCTAATTGTATGCTTTGGGGAAATCTGCGGTAGAATTAGGGGCAGGAGGAAGAACGAGTGGCACACAAGACAGAGACTGTCCTCCCCGCCTCTTTCCCTCCACTGGACTCCTCCATAGTCAGGCATTTTTGAAGGTGGGATCTTGCATTTCTGCCTCATCACCTCACTGAAGCTCCTTACTCTTCCTAAAGAGGAATGCTGCCAAAACTTGGAGTCTAGATATTTTTTTTTCTAAAATTCAAATGGATCCTTCCTTCAATTCTTGATCCAAACACCTTAGTCTTTTTCTACCAAAGTCAAAGTAAAACAGAACAATAAAAGGAACAGCATGTGTATATAGCAGGAAGCCCTTTCACTTCTTTGGTTACTGGAGATAAAAACTGTTAGAAAACCTCAGCGGGATTATGTATTACTTGTTTCAGGGATAGGAGAACAAGGAAAGATGTTTGAACTGGGTATTTTGTTGAATTATGGTCCTGGAAGGAGTAAAACCTTGCATAGAAACCTTCCAGCCAGCCCTTACACATGCAAAGGAGCCTAATGACAGCTCCAATAAGGAGCTCAAACGCTCATTGAGTCCCTACTTCCCCATCGAAGGGTTCCATACACCCTCATCCCATATATCCTTGTAGAATTCCCAACCCCACGGCTAGTTCCTTCTTCCTAGAAGCTGTTTCCCT